TATTTTTTTTTTTTTTTTTACACAATTTGCATATAGCAAAGAATTACTTTGCTATAAGCAAGCATTTACCTGAATGAAATCGATTCATTCAGCTTTTTTTTTTTTTTTTTTTGTGCTTAGCTGTGATTTGGTCACAGCTAAATCACATGACATGTGCATGTGATTAGCTGTGACCATTCACAGCTAGGCACTAGTATACAATGGATGGCATCATGAATGAAGCCATCCATTGTATACAACTGTCATGTGACCTGCTGTGATTGGTCACAGCAGGTCACATGGTACCGGCAACGGGAGCCGGTACTCGGATCTGTCATCGGCCGTGTCCGAGGTGCACGGGCGGTGACAGATCACACTGCTGCGTCGCTCTACAACCGCGCAAACCGCGCATGTGCGGGAGCACGCCAAATGGCGTGCACCCGGAATACAGGAGCACATTTCAAGCCGCAAAACGGCCATTGGCCGGGCGGCTAATGGTTAATTAGAACGACTCTACAAAGAGGGGAATCTGCAAGTGTTAGGAACAAGGAAGTGCTGGCCGTGAAAATGGAGGGATAGGAGAGATGTTTATGTCCTGTCCACAATCCATAATGGCATCATGGTGGACATTCAAAGAAGACGAGGGGAAGTCCAAAAGCCAGAGTGTATCTTCAATTATAATCAATTCATGGGGGGGGTGGATTTAAACGATCGCATGCTGCAGCCATACTTACCATCAAGGAAGTCCCTCTACTGGTACAAAAAAAGCTGCAATATACATTTTCCACATGGCAATTTATAATTCATATATAATCTATCAAAAATCAACTGAAAGACCTAGCCACCTCTTCAAATACACTGAAGATGTCATCACTGCCCTAATCTATCAGCAAGGATCTCCACCACAAACCATTCGCTCCGATTGTGTCAGCAGACTGCATGAACGCCATTTCCCTGACAGAATTCCACCATCAGAAACAGGAAGAAGACGTCGAAAAACATGTAAGGTATGCAGCAGAAGGGGAATTAGGAAAGACACCAGTGTTCATTGTCCCCAATGTCCCTCCCAACCAGGCCTATGCTTCGGAGACTGCTTCAAACGTTATCACACTATAATAAGATATTAGTTCCCCATATTTTCAACAGCCTGCAACTTCCCCATTTTTGTTATCTTGCTGTGCTGATCTTTTGCCTACTGCCATGATTTATCATGCCTCTGCCTTCTACCTTAACTGACCCTGGCCTGTTTACCGACAATGCCTCTGCTTGCCGTCTGAATTGCTTCTACACCACATTTCTGCTTTTCACCCAAAACTGACCATGGCTTGTTTTATCGACTATGCTTCTGCCTGTCGTCTGGATTATTAACCACGTTTATGCCTTTTTCCTGGACTGACCTTGGCCTGTTAAATCGACAATGTTTTTTGCCTGCTGCTTGGATTGATCTTTTGCCCTGCTACTGCAGTAGTGGGATTCAAGATAACACAGGGGTCTCGCATATGTGAGGGGCTTCAGAATAGATAAAAAACAGTTTTTGGTTTTCTCCGGGTTTTGTTAGTCCCGGAATAGGGTCTGTTGTCCGGAGGCTTCGAAGAGATTGGGTGGGACGAAGCCTCTACCCCTGTGCCCCAGTCCTACCTGATCAAGGCCCTAAGCCTGATGTTCCTGTCTGCTGCCTGGACCAATACTTTGGCTGTGCTGACCATATCTCCTCTTGCTACCTGTACTGACCCAAAACTTTCGGGCCATGTTCCTGCCTGCTGCCTGGACCAATACTTTGCATGGACCAATACAAACCAACACAGGTTAATCATATCTCTGCTTGCTGCCTGTACAGACCTAGGACTTTTTTTATGGACCATGTTCCTGCCTGTTGTCTAGGACCAATATTTTGGCTGTGCTGACCATATCTCTGCCTGCTGCCTGGACTGACCTAGGACTTTTTATGGACCATGTTTCTTCCTTCTACCTGGATCTCAGCCTGCTGCCTGTTCTGACCCTGGCTTGTTTATCCACTATATTCCTGCCTGCTGCCTGGTCGAATCCTGTTGCTGTTGCCTGCTTCCTGGTCCAATGCTCTCCTAAAACCATAGGTAATCTTTTGCTTATCCTTTCTTTAGCTGTGAAAAAGTTTCAGATTGTGGTATTGTCATGTTCAGGAGGAGTAGTAAAATGTATTTTCGAGTATAGAAGAAATATCCTATAAATTGACAACTTTGTGTAAAAAAAAAAAAATACTTTTTCATTTTTTTTCCACATTTTCTAAAAACTTGTAGAAAAAAATAACATGTTCAAAAAAATTATTATGCCTGATACATAGCTTGGGATGTTTGCTTTCCAAAATGGGGTCATTTTGTGGGTGTTTCTACCATCCTGGTGCTTTAGGGAAACTGTGATAGGGAGTCAGGAAATTAGATGTGTAATTTATGCCCCTTTTATGCTCCTAGAATGCATGGAGCTGCTACTTGGATGCTGGGTCTCTGTATGTGGCCAAGCTGCGGAAAAAGTCACACACATGTGGTATCGCCATACTCAGAAGGAGTAGCAGAATGCATTTTGGGGCATAATTCTTGGTATGTACATGTTTGTGTGTTAGAAATATCTTAGAAATTGACAACTTTGTGTGAAAAAAAAAAAAGTTTTAATTTTTCTTTCCACATTTTCTAAAAACATTTGGAAAAAAATAACCCGTTCAAAAGACTCATTATGCCTGATAGAATATAGCTTGGGATGTTTGCTTTCCAAAATGGGGTCATTTTGTGGGTGTTTCTACCATCCTGGTGCTCCAGGGCCTTAAAAACTGTGATAGGGAGTCAGGAAATTAGATGTGTAATTTATGCCCCTTTTATGCTCCTAGAATGCATGGAGGTGCTACTTGGATGTTGGGTCTCTGTATGTGGCCAAGCTGCAGAAAAAGTCTCACACATGTGGTATTGCCATACTCAGAAGGAGTAGCAGAATGTATTTTGGGGCATAAATCTTGGTATGTACATGCTGTGTGTTAGAAATATCTTAGAAATTGACAACTTTGTGTGAAAAAAAAAAAAAGTTTTCATTTTTCTTTCCACATTTTCTAAAAACATTTGGAAAAAAATAACCCGTTCAAAAGACTCATTATGCCTGATAGAATATAGCTTGGGATGTTTGCTTTCCAAAATGGGGTCATTTTGTGGGTGTTTCTACCATCCTGGTGCTCCAGGGCCTTAAAAACTGTGATAGGGAGTCAGGAAATTAGATGTGTAATTTATGCCCCTTTTATGCTCCTAGAATGCATGGAGGTGCTACTTGGATGTTGGGTCTCTGTATGTGGCCAAGCTGGAAAAGTCTCACACATGTGGTATCGCCATACTCAGAAGGAGTAGCAGAATGCATTTTGGGGCATAATTCTTGGTATGTACATGCTGTGTGTTAGAAAAATATCTTAGAAATTGACAACTTTGTGTGAAAAAAAATGTTTTCATTTTTCTTTCCACATTTTCTAAAAACATTTGGAAAAAAAATAACATGTTCAAAAGACTCATTATGCCTGATAGAATATACCTTGGGATGTTTGCTTTCCAAAATGGGGTCATTTTGTGGGCGTTTCTACCATCCTGGTGCTCTAGGGCATTCAAAACTGTGATAGGTAGTCAGAAAATTAGATGTGTAATTTATGCCACTTCTATTCTCCTACAACATGTGAAGGTACTACTTGGATGTTGGGTCTCTGTATGTGGCCAGGTTGTAGAAATGTCTCACATATGTGGTATCACAATACTCAGGAAGTGTAGCAGAATGTGTTTTGGGGTGCAATTGCAAGTATGTCTATGCCAGGTGTGAGAAATAACTTGTTATTTTGGCAATTATGCGTGAAAAAAAATAATAATAATAATTTATTTATTTTCCAAAGAATTGTGGGAAAAAATTACAACTTCAAATAACTCACCATGTCTTTTACTAAATACTTTGGACTGTCTATTTTCCAAAAAGGGGTCTTTTGGGGGTTATTTGTACTTTCCTAGCATGTTAGGGCCTCAAGAAATGAAATAGGCCATCAGTGCTTCATGTGTGATCAATTTGCAATGATTGGTGCCATAGCTTGTAGACTTTATAACTTTCACACAGACTAAATAATATACACCGATTTGTTTTTTTTTTTACCAAAGGTATGTAGCAGTATAAATTTTTGCCTAAATTTATGAAGAAAAATTACTTATTTGCAAAATGTTATAATAAAAACAAAGAAAATCTTATTTTTTTTCTAAATTTTCGGTCTTTTTTCGTTTATAGTGCAAAAAATAAAGAACTCAGGGGTGATTAATTACCACCAAAAGAAAGCTCTATTTGTGGGAAAAAAATGATAAAAATTTCATATGGGTACAATGTTGCATGACCGTGCAATTGTCATTCAAAGTGTGACAGCACTAAAAGCTGAAAATGGGTCTGGGCAGGAAGCTGTAAAATTGCACGGTATTGAAATGGTTAAAAAACAGTCCTTAAAATGATATTAAACCCAAAAGCAAACATTTTTTATAATGAGGCTTACCGGTTCTCAAATGCGGTGGCTGCATTAGTTTTATTTTTTAGGTTTTCTTTCTTTTATTTTCACCTGGTGATCTGGCCAGTAAAGCTGGGCTTACATAACTCAGTTTTTCTCATTCAGCCAATGGCCAGCCAAAAAATAAACCAATTGCCCCATCCACACCTCCCCACTACGCTATTGTATTCTAACAACAGGGAGATTCCGCCACTGTCAGAATACACAGATCAGTGTTGAAGCCATAGGCAATATATGTAATTTATTTTATTGAAATTTGATTGCTTCATATATATAACATACACAAATTTGAATAGAGTAAACAATCTTACCACAAAAAAACAAACTTTTTTTAGTTCAATCATTTTTTTTAATTTTCACAAATTTACAGGATAGGGTGGGAAAACATAGTGATGTAAAGTGTACAGAAAGTTGTGGTAACCCATAATAATGAGTAAACCCTAAAGTGTTACTAAACCCACAACAGTAAAATCAGTCTGTATATGCAGTAAAGCATGCTTGTTATACTCACTGTGGAACCTAAGGGGTTTATCCTCTGCATGGTGTAAAAATGCTGTTTGATCCTGACTTCTCTGATCCCCCCCCTCCTTCCAGTGTCCCCCCCCCTTATCTCCTGATAAGACATATGTGTGGAGACACTCTGCACATGCTCAGTTTGGTGTGTATTGCTAGAGAGGTTTTTTCTTTCTTGGAGGGTGCATGTGATCAGCACATGGCCATTCATCACTGTACAGACAGAGGTCAGGGGTTCTGCATCCTCCTAGAGCAGAAAGAAAACTCCTACAAGCTTTAACCAGTGCTCTGCTGGACAGTGATATAAGTCATAAGACTGCTCTAACTGCTGATGAGAAAAGGTATTTAGTAGTTTATATTTACTAAAATAATTGCATTTCCATGTAGTGTGTACTGTGGGAGACCAGATACAGTGAATGCAGAGTCCTGGGTTTAGTAACACTGTAAAGTGGTATTAACCTCCCTAGCGGTCTGATTATGTCAATATTTCTGTGCTCAAAGTGGTACATTTTTTTGCATGGAAATATGTATTTTTTTTATTGTAGGCCTATAATTTTTAGGAATAACTCACTGAAATCTGTCCGAACAAGAGTCTAGTAAACATCCTGAGTATGATAAAACTTGAAACACGAAATCTTAAATTATAATATAATAAATAATCATAAAAAAATAATAATTTAATAATAATAAATTTAATTCAATAATGTAATCAAACAAAAAAACACTGAAATTTGAAATAGTGCGCAAAGTTCGCACATTACTGAGCAAAGTCGCAAAGTCGTTTTCAGTGCCTGATGACGAATTTCCCCACAAATCATTATCACTCAATTCTGCAAGTGGTTCTAATTTACTATCGCTGTTCTCTAGCTGGTCTAAAACCGATTTTGACCTAAAGGGACGCTTTTTGGACGCCATGGACTTTTCTCAGTTTCCAGGCAGAAAGAACAGTAAAAATGCAGGCAGGACACAGGACAAAGCACTCGGGACAAAATGTATGTGAAATGGTTTGAGACACTAATGTTTTACTATGTGGTTTTAGTGTATTAGTGAATGTCACTTTTTAAAATTTTCAAATTTCCCCGGCGGTTCCGTCCCCCGTACGTCCCGTACGTACCGACGCTCGCAGGGACTGGAACATGGAAGACGGATGTCGGCATCGGCCAGAGGAGAAGGCTGGGGACGCTGCAAGGGGGACATCGCGGGAGCGCAGGACAAGGTAAATGCTGCAGGGAATCCCTGAGCAATGCTGCAAGGTATTCACGAGTGTAGCTCGGGGTTACCGCTTTTGGTACTGAAACCTAACCCCGAGCTACACTCGGGAATACCGCCAGGGAAGTTAAAGGCTCAGCTTTTAAAAAAAATAACAAAAATGTCAATCCGCTTTTTATGGGGGCACTGGTGCATGCTCGCTCCCAAGCCCGACTCTATGTACCCATAAGACACATAGAGCCACGACTCGGCCCTGCCCCTTCTTCCTCCTCATAGGCTTACTGGTTGTGATTGACAGCAGTGGAAGCCAATGGCTCCCGGCTTTCGCTATTGGTTCAACATTGATTGGTGCAAGGAGGAGGGCTGTGTAGTAAATGTAAATGCTATTTATTATATGACCCTCAGGGACCCCTGAAAACCCATCCATAAAGCACTTAAGAGGTTGATGGACCCAAAGCTGTGAACTCCTGATTTATGGCCACCTTAAGGCTGTGCTATTTCAACAGAACAAGCTGTTCTGCAGATGGAGCAGTTACAGTGTTGAGAAAAACCATTTACCACTGACTGGGGTGCTTGCATTGATCAGCTTTTATTTATTTATGTAAAAGCTTTATCCCAAAATGAACTGCTTTCTGTAACTGCTTATAAAGTATTAGCTAGAGTTAATTTTCAATTTGTTTGTGTATTTAAATATGCTAGTACATCTAACAGTCCCTACCCCAGACTGACGATGCTGGTCTCCAAAGGTGCCCCTGTGCTCCTTCATCCAGAGCGGGGGAAATCTAACACAGGTGGTGTGTTATAGGCCAGATCACTAGGTAAAAACATAGGGAAAAGCATAAAAAAAAACTATAGATGTCTATTGCTAAGAGATTGATTGGTAATCTGCAATATATTACATTTTTAGTTTGGGGTTTAATACCACTTTAAGCTTCCATCCAAACTACGGCTCGGGGGCCAGATGCGGCCCTTTGCTTGCCTTTATTTGACCCTTGGACGCTAACAATGGGGCACCATTGCTTTCACTGACACCAATGATGGGGCACTACTCATTCCACTGATGCCAACATTTGGCACTATTCCTCCTCCTAATAAAAAGGATTATTCCTCAGAATTACACCAATAATGCAGCACCATTCCTCCCACTGACACCAAATATAGGGCTCTATTCATTCCCCTAATACCAGCAATTGCCACTATTCTTTCCACTAATACCAATGATGAAGTATGGTACATTTCCATTGACACCAAAGCATTTTCTACTCACATTGGCCACTTTCCATCCCCTAGAGAATCTGAAGGACAGTAAACTGGCCCTTTGTTTGGAAAGTTTGGAGACCTCTAATTTAAAGAACTTTCCTTGGCTGCAGGCAAGAGGGAATATTTCCTCTGCCCCAGGGATCAAACTGCAACATTGTCACTTTATAGCAACATGAGAGGCTGCAACAGAGTCTGATTTTGTCAACATTTGTGAATACCAGGATTTACCTGATTGTGTCTTCTCTGAGCTGGCATCTCAGTCCAGGAAGCAGATGGTGACCCCAGATGATGCCTGAACAAGGGTAGCTCCATCCTTCTGGAGAGAAGAGCAGATGAAGGCATTGCCAGGGGGAGTACTATGATCATTGTGAGAGGTAATGGATACTTGAGTGGTAAACTAGCATATAAACACATCCCAGGAGACTTCGGGACAACTTACCCAGGCTGCTGATCTCCCACATATACAGGAGCCAACTGAGTGATCAGGGTGTGACAGTCGGCTTCCAAATCCAGGATGGTGGCATGGGTAAAAAAAGCTGTGAAGACAGGTCAGGTACAAGGAAGACAGCATGGATTGATACGTACTTGCTATTTAAAAGTCAGCAGCTACTTTTTGGATAGCCGGGTGAAGTTCCTCTTTAATATGAAAAAAATCAGATGGTAGGTCCACTTTAAGCAGAGTTGTAAACATATTCCCTGATATGCAGATGACCATCAGAGAAACCTTTTAAAATCTGTATATGACAAAATCATGGAATAGCATTTCAAATGCAAACTGCTCATCAAAAATTGTTTTCCAGTAAATGTTACAATAACGACTCAGAATGTACTGTATACTTACTGGAAACAGGCTTCCTTTAATCTGAATTGTACGCATGGATTTGCAACAACATTCCACACATTTTTCATATGTGTTTTCAAGATGTACAGCAGTCTCTGCTCACATGACTCTTGATGATTAGCTTTTTTTTTCTGTTTTAAAAGAGATCTGGGCTGATCAAATATAGTCTGAATAAACAATGCATAAGTATTCTTCCTAGAATCTTGGTGTGCTGTGCAGAGGCGGACTGACAACTCATGGGGCCCCCGGGAAACAGGGGATCATGGGGCCCCTGTATCCTTGCCCAAACTCAAAAAAGCCTATGAAAAAGGTACCAGGGGCATCTCATGGGGCCCCCTACTGACCCCGGGCCCTCGGGCAATGCCCGAGTTTCCAAATGGTCAGTCCGCCCCTGGTGCCGTGTGTATTTCTTCCAGATCTGTGCAGTAATCCAGTGTGCACCTTTACCTCTATGCAGTAGCTTTCAGTAATAAAGACTGGCTACTGCAGCTCTCTCTCCTTGTGCAGGGTGACTGGTCTTATTCCCACCCCCTCCTGTAGTATTCTGCATGGAGCCTATAGTGGGTATGGCCTGCTGGGTCCCTCCCAAAACTCTGCTCTCTGAACAGGCTATGTACAGCACAGTGATGATGTCACTGTTACTATTACAAGGTAATATCATGGATTGCAAAGGCATTTCTTGTACACAAAGGGAATATACTGTATATCTTTGTGGCTATAGGAATATATCTCATTTAAAATTCTTGTAGCCAGAGCACTGCTTTAAGAGACAATAAAATACTGTGATAGACAGAGCTGAGAAAATCTAGACTGCATATGCATGTGTTCAGGAATGGGTGTTCCTAGAACCCCATGTAACTGTCAGTGGTGCTTTTTAAAGTAATGTGATGGGCAACTGTATCTCAGCTTTTTAAAAAAAATAACCAGATGCCCAGGGCTGGTTATCTCAGTTATTCACTTAAAGACTTAAATTTAAGCTTTGACTGGAGTGTACATTTAAATGTGTTAGTATTGCTAAAGGGAAATTGCTCCAGGCTGCTACCATTAAATAATAACATGTTTCCTAATTGTTAAAAGGAGCAGAACTAACATTTTTCTTTCTATGATTCTGTCACACATAAAGTAATATAATATTACTCAAATGAATAATATTCTTTGTAAATTTATATTTTATTATTTTGTGCATACTATAAGCAAATTTAGCATGTAAATTTCTTTTCTCTTGGTCTAGTTTCTTGTAACCAACCTACATACCTTCCTTCCTTCTCAAAAAGTTAAACTTGCTAGTAAACAGTGCCTTTACTCCATTGCAAAGAATTTCTTTGCTAAACTGAATCCCAAAACTGATACTTCTGGGAATGTCGATTTTCTGTGTCCCCACCACCACTTAATGGTTCCTCCATCATTACAGGACACAGTAGTAAGGTAGAGGCTTGGCAAATGCCCTGTGTGTGTTGATTTTCTATTTGTTTTAAAGGGGCCCAGTAGAATCCCAGCTCAGTAGTACCCCCAGTCAGCAGATGCCCAGCTCATTAGTACCCCCGTAGACCAGATCTCCAGCTTATTGGTACCCTTGTTCAGTAGATTCCCAGCTTATTAGTACCCTTGTTCAGCAGATCACCTGCTCAGTAGTACTCCCAGCTCTGCTGATGCCCCACTCAGTAGTAACCCCTAGCTCTGCTGACCTGCCACTCAATGGTAACCTCCAGCTCTGAAGATCCCCCACACAGTAATAATACCTAGCTCTGCTGATCCCATACTCAGTAGTAACCTCCAGCTCTGCTGATTCCCCACTCAGTAGTAACTCCCAGCTCTGCTGATCCTCTGGTTTGCTGTTCCTCCTCTCTCTCTCTGGTACCCGCTCACCTCCTGCTATATTGCTCCCACATTGCACAGCACATTGCTAGTTTCCCCTGCTCCAGTCCCCCAGCTCTGCTGATCCTCTGTCACTCAGTCTTCTCTTTTTGGTTCCCGCTCACCTTCTGCTATAGTGTTCCCATGTTGCACACCATGTGTGCCATCTGATCTGCTTTGGTCTGGACCACACTCACCTTCCTGCTGCTGAACACTGCACACCCGATGTGACATCTGCACCAAACACTCCCAGAATATATACAAATGAACCAAAAGTGACAGCTGTTGTCTTCCTGAGAGCCATGTGTTGCCGTACAATATCAGCAACATTCTAAAATTGCACTGAAACCCTTCCCAGAAGAATGGAGGCTGTTGTAGCCACAAAGAGAAGGGGGTGGAGAGGGCTTAGTGGCAACATGACTATGATTTGGAATGGGATGTTTAAAAAACTCATCTAGGTATTATGGTCAGGTATCCACAAACCTTTAACTATATAGTGTATGAGCTAGAAATATATATTACGTTGCTGCTGAAAGCATAAATTGTCATCCAGTGAAAAGAGAGACAGAATACACACACAGAATAATCTTTTATATACAGTTAGGTCCATATATATTTTGAGATCTAGGAGGTATTTGTAAGAGATAGAAAGAAAGCTTTAGATCGGACCTTCTCCCAAACACAGCTCCTTGAAAGCATGTAGTTTTCTAGGGAGTAGTAAATGTAGCGAGTATAAGAAGTGGGATAGTTGAAGGGTCTTCAACAGTCTGTGAACAAGGTGGATGGGCTGGGGAACAAGATATCCAATGCAACCCAGCCAGTGGATTGCAGAAAGTGAGATGCACGGAGTAGGCCCTGGGAGGTCAGGGATCAGAAGCTAGAATCAGTAAGCCTGGTGGAAACCCTGGGTGGCCTATGATAACGCCTATCATAGGCCACCCAGGGTTTCCACCCAGGCTTACTGACACCCATGGGAGAGGGAAAGCTCTCCAAAGATGCCGTGGAAAAAAATCTGTTCCGTTCACCCAACACA